CCTAATTCCTGCTCCAACAGCATTCTGCTCGTTACACTCGGAGCAATGAGGAGGCTCAGGCGTCCCTGTGTCAGCGCCTTCCTCAGCCGGGACCCAGTGGGCTCACCGCGCTGGGAAATGAACAGGAAAAGCCCTTCCCCCAGCAAGCCTTCTGTTTGGGGACCTGCATCCCACATGAACAGGAAGACTTCTGCACAATGCACATGCTCAATAAACCCTGTGGGTGGACAGAATGCACAGGCCCCACCAGCGACTGGGTCTCCTGGCCCCTACAGAGCCCACACCAGTGTTTCGGATGCTCCTGGAAAGGGCTCAAGGGGCCTGTGTATAGCCAATAACTGACATTCACATTAAGCACCATTTATACTGGAGCTCCCCCATGGCCCAGTCAGCACCACATGGTCACCACCTTCTTCCTCTTGGTCCGAACTTACACACACACAGGCCAGCAGTCCCTGCCACCCACTTGCTGCCCTTCCAGGCGTTTCAGACACCGGGGTCCGCCTGTGGGAGAGGCTCTCTGGCCTCAGGATGCCAACAGGGCTGCTCTGGGCTCAGACAACGACACCAGCCAGGAGACCCTCCTCTCAAACCCCCGCCACCCGCAGTTCCCGCCCCTCGCCCACACAATGCATCTTTCTCTCTTACCCACCTCCCCTGGGGGCGCCACGCAGAGGCTTGTGTAGAACCAATAACGGACGTTTACATTAAGCGCCGTTCCCCGCTCCGTGTTTAAGTGCTTTGCAGGCATAATCCTGATGAACCCTCCCAATAGCCCGTCCAGGACCATTTCAGAGACACACACACAAGCAGGCAGCTAGTCACATCTCTCAGAGGCAGAGCCAGACCTTAGATCGGGTCTGGCAGACTCCAGAGCCCACACTCGCCCACTGCATTGAACGTCCTCCCTGAGCCCTCCAAGGGTCTCTGCTGCAGCTGGTAGTTTGTCCTTCCTCTCTACTGGACCTGGGAAGCCACTCACCTTGACCTCTCCCAGGTCATGCTTACTAGTGGCGGCTACACCTGGGTGGTGCACCAGGCAGGGTCCCTCCTACGGTGCCTGGTGACCTCAGGAGCCAGTGTCTACCTGGTAGAAGCGAGTGAGGGATATCTCCATCCTAAATTTTCTTTTCTTTTTCATCCCAAGTTTTCAAAGCATCTGCTGATTCTGTAGCCACCAAAAGTCGGCTAAAATATCCTGTAGGGACACCCTCGCTTCTCCTGAGAGGGCTGCAGGACTGCCTGGAGCCCTGATCCCCCCAAGGACATTGGGGAATCACACAAAGGTCTCCTTGTTGTTTTTCTGGAGGGGCTGAAGATGACAGCTGAGCCATATACCCACGGCTAGGACACCCGAGCCAAGGAACCGCGTGTGCCTGAGCAATTAACATTTAGCTGAGAGGGAAGCACACAGAACCAGCTGCTGGTGGCAGCTCTGACAACCAGATCTGACCCTTCGTCCTGTCAGTGTTCTCGCTACAACTGAGGAATGCCAGCAGGATGCACAGACCTGCCACAAAGCACCACCACCGGAGCTCCGGCCCCCGCCTGCACACGGGGAGGCTGGCCTAACAGTGCTGATGGGATGGCGACTATCCACTGAGCACTGTGCCAGCTACCACACCGAGGAGCGACCTAGGTGAGCTCACCCTCGCTAGGAAGTTGGTGTCGCTGTTATTCATCGAGGAGGAAACAGGCCCAGAGGTTAAGGGCCTGGCTCAAGTGACCCAGCTAGTGCATGTCTGGTCCAAGCTCACAGCCACTGTGGCACCTCTACAGAAGGTGGAACCAGGCCAAGTTCCCAGGAAGCAGCAGAGGAAATGTCTTGGGCAAAGGAAGCGTCTCTCTTGGGCGGAAAGAAGGCAGCCAGAAGGGAAGACCCTGAGGCGGAGAGTGAAAGAAATGCCAGGGACGAGCCTGAGACCCTCTAGTTAGGGCCTGACTTGCAGTCCAGGATGCTCCTGACAAAAGCTCGCGCACCCGCCCCACCCCCTGAATGCGAAAAGCCAGCTGTCCCTCCTCCCGAAAAAGACATAAACAGGTCACGGCCACCTCGGTAGGTCCAGTCACATCAGCCTCCCTGTTCTTCACCGATGCCGTGGTTGCTTTGAATTTCATGCTCCCCTTCTCCCCGCCCAGGTGGGTGACAGGGCCACAGCTAGAGAGGGCACGAAGTGACACAAACTAGAGCAGTGATGGCGAACCTTTTGAGCTTGGCGTGTCAGCATTTTGAAAAACCCTAACTTAACTCTGGTGCCATGTCACATATAGAAATTTTTTGATATTTGCAACCGTAGTAAAAAAAAGACATATTTTTGATATTTATTTTATATATTTAAATGCCATTTAACAAAGAAAAATCAACCAAAAAAATGAGTTCGTGTGTCACCTCCGACACGCATGTCATAGGTTCGCCATCACTGAACTAGATAATCCAAACAGAGCTGGCAATAGGATTCCTCACAGATGAGCTTTCTCCCTTGCACAGTTCAAGAGCTGTGAGGATACTGCCACTCAGGCCCTAGCCCGTGTGGCTCAGTTGGTTGAGCACTGTCCCATGCACCAAGAAGTTGGTCGCTGATTCAACTGCAGGCTTGTTCCCCAGTAGGGGGCGTGCAGGGGGCAGCCAATCGATGTTTCTCTCTAAGTCTCCTCTAAGATCAATAAAAACATTTTTTTAAAAACTTCGTACCTTTTATAAAAATATATTTTTATTGATTTCAAAGAGGAAGGGAGAGGGAGAGAGCGAGACATCATGACAAGAGAGAATCACTGACTGGCTGCTTCCTGCACACCCCACGGTGAAGATTGAGCCTGCAACCTGGGCATGTCCCCAAACCAGGATCGAACCATGACCTCCTGGTTCATAGGTGGACGCTCAACCACTGAGCCACGCTGGTCAGGCTCAATAAAAACATTAAAAATAATCATAATTATTGCCACTCAAGATAACATAAGCAAGTTTAAAGAAACCCACCCTGAACTTTGTTTTTATCCCTCATGACCTAGTCATAAAACCCGTTATCTATTAAGACAGGAGCAGTGCTTCCTCCGTTTTCCTGTTCTTTGGGTCTGAACCACACGGTCTCCACTGGATGCTTTACAAGGCTGCTTCCTCTACCGGACAGACCAGGTCCTGCTTTGCTGTTCAGATTCCCACAGAGCCTGTGTTTCATCCCAACGCTCCACACTACCCGGTACGACAGAATACGATGCAATGACCACCAGCGATTCTCAGTCTCGCCTGAGACACACACGTGAGCTGAACTCTCAGTCTGAAGAGCCTCAGCCTTTGCCACAATCTAGCTGCTTTGGTAGATGGGGAGGGAGTTAGGAGCACAGATTCAGTGCAGCAAAAGCAAGAGCCTGTTATTAGCCTTCAAATTAAGTATGTTTTAAATTCCTGCAATGCTTTGTTAACTTCCTCCAACGTAACAGAGGCCGCGAGGCCGCGTAATGGCCTCTTATTAAGTCATACCACACACAGAGGGTGCCTCTGATTCCTCGGTCTGCTTCCTGGAACGAGCCGAGGTTGCTCTGGGGACGTTCCGTAATCATGACAGCACGGGTCGCAGGAACAATGAAGCAGAGAAGCAGAAGGTGCTACATCACAGTTTTACCTACACGCCTTGTCTGTTAGAATGGAACCGATGTGCCTGTGCTGCCAGTCAGGAACAATTAGCACAGAGTGGTTCCAAAAAAGAGGAAGAAACCTCAGGCATCAGCTCTGGGTGAAGGGGAGTCGCCATCTGCCAATGGGCACTGGAATGCCACTGCATGGGAAGGGGGGAAGGAGTGGGTTGGATGAGATCCAGGGGCCTCTGCCCACGTTAACACCGAGCAGCTTCTCTGCCTGCCAGCCTCACAGTGTCACACATCCTGTGTGTCTCTCTCCGTCTCACACCCGAGGAGGGAGAAACAATTGACGTAGGAAGCCAGGGGAAGAAAGAACCCGCACAGGCCCATTCTCCTGAAGCAGGGGGCCTACAGGTTTGCTTTGGTTAATCCTCACCTGAGGATATTTTCCCTTGATTTTTTAGAGAGTGGGAGGGAGGGGGAGAGACAGAAACATCTATGGAAAGAGACACATCAACCGGTTGCCTCCCCCACGCACCCCGACCAGGGTTGGGGATCGAGCCTGCAACCCAGTTATGTGCCCTTAACTGGAATCGAACCCGGGACCCTTCAGTCCACGGGCTGACACTCTATCCACTGAGCCAAACCAGTAGTTTTTTTTTTTTTAAAAAAACTACCTCTGTCCTTGAGGCCTCCATACCAGTCTCCCTGCATCCCTTTCTCCCTCCCAAAGGGAGAGCCCCTGGCTCCGTCTCTGAGACACAGAGGTGGAGCAATACTAGGTCTTGGCGGCTCACCCCCTCGGAGCTGCTCTGTGTGGGAAGGGAAAGGAAGAGAGGCAGCAGAGAAAAGGAGGAAAGGACTAGGGCAGCACCTCTAAGCTAGACATAGCTCCCAGAGTTAGAAGCCACAACTATAAAAGTATCAACCAAAGAGGAACCTCGACAGAATACAGAGCATAGTCAGAATATGCGGGCGGGTCCCATAGGAATCCAGAAGCCGCCAAAACTGAGCCATCTTGTCCACAGACCTATCAGCACTTGTGATTTCTGGCTCTGATAAAATAAGGCCTATGTCTGCTTCTCTAAGGTTTAGTCTTTTTTTTTTCCTTTTAAAATATATTTTTATTGATTTCAAAAAAGAAGGGAGAGTGAGGAGATAAAAACATCAATGATGAGAAAGAACCATTGATCGGTTGCCTCCTATATGCCCCAGACTGGGGATCAAGGCCACAACCCAGGCATGCGCCCTGATCAGGAAGTAAACTGTGACCTCCTGGTTCATAGGTCGACGCTCACCACTGAGCCATGCCAGCCAGGCTAAGGCTTAGTTTTAAATGGGATTAGATAAAGGGAGGAGAAAGACTGTTTTCTCAGAGTAAGGAAACACCTCACAGTGAAAGATGAGTGCGAAGTGACACCCCCTGCAGATGTAGTTTTTAATCTTAGTCACACAACATCAAGAACTGGTTAGTTCCAGGGGAGTGCGCCAGTTCATTACCTGGACCAGTTCTCTCCGTCCGCATCTCCACAATGCAGTGCCACCAAACAATGTGTTCATCTAGGAGAGAATGTTTAAAAGAATACCTGTCCAAGAATGGCCCTTGCTTCCCTGTGCTGTTCAGAAAGGAAACAAAACAAAACAAAACAAAACAAAAAACCACAAGAAAGCAACATAACCCAAACCCTGTACCAGCCAGCTGCCCTGTCTTCCCAGGGCGTTTTCAGGGGGGTTTCTGCCGGGCCCTGACCCCCACCCCACACATGAGTGAGGAGAGAGGCAGGGGCCGGACTGGGCATCTGCACCGGAGTGGAAAGAGAAACCAAACACAGGTGGGTGCCGGCACATTTTTAGACGAGGTTAGAATGTCCCGGTGTGCACAGGAAGCAGGCAAAGAAGTTTTCTGAGGGAGCCAATGCCTGCAGGCAGGTGAGCCATCTGTGTACTCTCGGGGAGGAGCTCCCTGGATAAGGACACAGAAGCTAGGGGGCCTCGAGGAAGCTGTTGGTTCGGAAGATGGAGGAGACGATCTTGCCGGTGGCGTTGATGGTGCCTTCGCTGTCCGAGCTGGACTCGGAGTCGCTGCTCCCAGAGTAGGCGCCCAGGCCTGGGAGGATGCCGATACAGACCGCAGCCGAGGGGCAGTGGATGGAGGGACCACTCAGGGACGTGCTTCCAAGAGCCACGCAAGACGAGGCTTCTGCAAAGGAGGAGGGAGGACTTTAGCTTCATCACCCTCTTCCACAGGTGATGGTCTGCTTTCCATGTGCCAGGCACTGTGCCGAGGGCTTTCCCATGGAAGCCTCAAAACCACCCTGTGCGGGCGACACTACTGTCACCCTCTAGCTCACCTCCTCCTTTACATCTGAGAGAGCGGAAGCCACAACCAGAGAGCATTTTAAGACCCTGGGGAATGTCACCAGTAGGTCGAGGCTCTCTTGCCCCAGGCCACCCCAGTTACACTGCCACCTTAGTGACAGAAGGCCTCAATCTAGAGAAAGCAGGCCTTAAAGATTAAAGGAAAAGTTAAGAGGTCCACTCCTCCTTCTTCCTTCTAAATGTTCCCAGCCTCACTTAGCCATTACAACAACTGGCCATGCAAGTTTTAGCCCTCATTTTACTGGTTAGGGAGGTCAAATGACCTGCTAGGTAAAGGCCACTTAGAGGAGAAAATGTTAAACTAAATCTGAATCAAAAAATCATGTACTGAAAGGATTCCTGAGCTCTTCACTGCAGAGGAAGAGCTGGAGTTCAAACTTCACCATCTCAACTGACAAGGGTACTATTTTCTAGGGTTTGTCTTAACAAAGCCCGAACTAATAGCTCATGTAAATATCGAAAGGATACATGGTTCCTAGTATATAAAATAGGGGGTAAGCAAGAAATACACTGAAAAGCTCAGAGAGATCTCAAATGCCCCGACACAGAGGTCAGGACTAGAATATATCTCCTTATCTTACTGGAAGGTCTAATAAGGGGGAAAGCTGCTAAGATAGGCAGCGTTAAAACAGGGAGAGAGAGAAAAGTGGAATGAGAGCTGACAGTGACTGCAGAGATGGCCATAAGCCACAAGAAAGTAGAGGCAAACGTCTGTAACAAATATCACAAAAACTTTCAAGATATAAAGAGTTCTTCTGAAACCAACCAACCAATAACCATATAGAAAAGTGGACAAAAGACATGAACAGTCACAGAAAAAGGAGCAGATGAATTTTAAACACAGGAGAATAAACAATATGTAAGAAGGGAAAGGGGAACAGGCATCTTTACATATTGCTGGGGGAGGGGGCGAGGGCAGTTCAACAATGTCCTTCAGACGTACATGCTGTTCCTACGAGAACATGCCCTGCAGCACTGCCGACAGCAAGTGTGCAGACGATCTGTCCATCAATAGGGGGTCATTTAAGCAACGGACTACTGTTCAGCCACCAAGAAGAGTAAACATCTCTGTTTACTGTATCAAATGGTCCACAAGACACTGTGCTAAATGAGAAAGACAAGGGTGCGTTTAAGGTACAATTTGTGTGTGTGTGTGTGGTGGGACATGCCCAGGTTTATGCATGATAATGTCTGAAAAAAGACATTAAAAATTGGTAACGGGCTGCTCTGGGGAAAAAAATCTCAGTGGTTGGGAAACGGGAGAGACAACTTTCTACTCCACACTCCTTTGTCCCTTTAGAATTTTCTATTATGTGCATATACTACCTATTCAGACAAATTTTTTTTAAAGGTAAATGCAAAAATCCAAAGAGCATCCTGGGCCACTTAAATTAGGGAGGATCAGTCCCACGTCTCTGTGGCCACAGGCATCCCAGTATTACAGCCAGGAGGGCGGGGGACCACTGGGCAGCCCTAGAGACAACAGGGATTGCTTGTCTATATTCTCCTCTAACCATGAGTCTCCACAAGACAAGGGTTCTTTCTTCCCCATGCCACCCGCTGGGCATACGGCACAGGGCCTGGCACAGAGCGGGCCAGAGCCCACAGTGTGTGAGAATGCAGGAAAATGTGTTCAAGACACGGAAGCGTTTCACTGCAAATGGCAAAAATCTTTTTTGGGGGGTGGTAAAAATGTTGGGGGGTGGACATGACATTATACTGTATGCCATTCACTGTTAAGTTACATATACAATGTACTTTCAGTATTCTGTTAGAAAAATATTTAGGATATGAGTCAGTTACTTAGAAAAATAGCTGCTCAGTGAGATGTGACGTTTTATTAAGTATTTCAGGGTGACTTTCTTAGAAAAGAAGGACAAGTCTAAAGTGCCTGTGAGGACCAGAGCTGGCCGAAGGGAAGGGTGGACGGCAGCCTCAGAAAGGCAACCAAAGATCTAGAACTCCGTGGCGTCAGCAGAGTTCAAGCCAAAAGACCAAATCTCCCAATTATCTAGGAGGTTTCAAGAGAGAAAAGAGACTACGACTCTGACAAATTTCATTCCAAAAGCAGTTAACTGTCCAAAGAGAACAAAATGGTGCCCTCTGATCTCAGCCATTTGGTGAAGTTTCCTGCCAACTTCTGCAATTGCAGGACCACATTGTCACAGCAAATTAACACTGAAAATTACTAACAGAGAATGTGCTTGCGATTCAGACAGCTGCGTGACTTGAGAGGAGATGGGGTCAGCGTGTGCATTCTGCGCAGAGCTCAAGCCAGAAGCTCCGGTGGGGGAAGCCTGCCTCTCCCCGGGACCACAGAGCTGTCTTCTGGGGGACCAAGGGGACAAATCCTCCTACTGCTGAGGACAAGACCCTGAAGCAAGACACAGCAGACATTCCTCCTGTGTGGCCTTAGCTCCTAGCAAAAGAAGGTATTTCTTGCCCAGCTTCTGCTGTACGAATGGAAGGGGGAGGAAGAAGGCGTTTAGAATGCCAAAAAAGATGGCTCTGAACACGTGTGTGCCTCACTGTCAAGACCCCCCCGTTTTCCTTTCCACTGACTCATGCAAATACTTCCTACCAGGGACTAAGCACCAGATGCAGAGCTACGAATTACCTGGCTGAGATATGTTTAAGATTCCCACGAAGTATACACAGTATACACTTATGCTAGTTAAGCAGCCACAGTATATTCTTTTTGACCTAATAACTCCATGTATTTAACCTGATATTTGTGAATATGAAAAATGATGCATGTATAGGATTATTTAATACAACATCACAAGTGAAAAATGGAAGCTATCTAAACGTTCATCAATAAAAAATGGGATAAATATACTATGTAAAACCATATGATGGAATACCAGACAGCCTTAAAAAGGAATGAAGAGCCTGGCCAGTGTGGCTCAGTGACTGAGCATCATCAACCCACGAACCAGGAGGTCACAGTTAGATTCCCAGTCAGGGCACATGCCTGGGTTGCAGGCTCCATCCCCAATGTGGGGCATGCAGGAGGCACTTGATTGATGATTTTCTCTCATTGATGTTTCTCTCTCATTCTCTCCCTCTCCCTTCCTCAATAAAATGAAATCAATAAAAATGTATTTTTTTAAAAAGTAGATTATACAGCAAAAGGTATCAGCAACGGTTGGCCATTACCGGTGCTCAGTAGATACATATTTTAAAATATCCATTTTTTTTTTTTGAGAGAGAGAAAATAAATTAAGCCCTGTTTTATGGATGACCCACTGAGTTTATCTCAGACTCTCAATCCCACAGGGAGTCAGGGGTAGAACTGAAAACACTCTTGAATTTCCCGTTCTTGATCCAGCACCCAGGATACACTCACCTTCACTTACAACTGTGTCACTTAATGCAGTGTCAGATTTGATCACATAAAAGTAACCACCAAAGAAAGTGTAGTCCTGGAAACTGTATTAAAACTAGGCTCACTCCAATCCAACCACCAGCAGGAGCCTGGCATTCTACCTCTCACTGGTAGCAAGCCAGGTGAAATCAAGAAACTTGACATTTGGGGAAAACAGAGAAAAATCCTTTGTGAGAAGAGGTGATATGACCAGGGCTCTGGCTGTGTACGCACTCCTAGGGAGCACAATGGCCACTTATCAGTTCCACGGGTTTCTTTTTTTTTCCACGGGTTTCTAACATAGTACTTTGCAGGGCAGCTGACATACTCTTGGGTATAAATCCTGCTTGGTAAAAAAAAATTGGTAAATTAAGTTTAGGTAGGCCTGCTTAGAGATAAACGCCGTCATTCATAAGTGCAATGCATTCCAGCCCTTTACTATTTGGTATTATGAGTAAAGAATGAAGTGAAAGCTGCCACCCACCTTGATTCTTGTCATCTGGGTCAGGGTCCGATTTCAGTCTTTTTACACTGTTGCCACTCTCTGAGCTGTAACAGAAAACATGGTGATGTGAGCTAAGTCCAATCTTGGGGATCAAAGCTTTGGGATCAGGAGCTCCAATAACCATTTATATGGCTCTGAGGCAGCCTCAAGGAACTAGAATAATCTGAAATAAAAAGTCTTCATTTCAGAGTCTCCCCCTGGTTATATTATTGGTTATAAAGACAACCTAAACCCCTGACCAATTCAAGGGATAAAGTGTTATATCTACAACCGTTTCCTACACTTCAGATCCTTTGTTGTCCTTATCATTCATTCATCTTGGATAGAACCACAGACGGATTTCAAGACTATCTGGACATGTTCATAAGTGACAAAAATTTAGTTTAAGTTATTAAAGACCGAAGGAAGCATCTTTAGTTACATGCTAGAGATTCTGAAAGTCATCTAAAAGGCCTTCATTAAAAGATCATCTAAACAGTGTACTTCAATGAGGAAGGAAATAATTCGAGAAGGAAGGACTTAATTCCAGAAGGAAGGAATGGTGGGGGGAAAAAACACCAAAAACCTGGCAAATACAAACATAAATCTAAACACAATGTTGTCTGTATAAACACACACACACATACACACACACATACACACATACACAAACCCATCTAATTTGTGGTGTCAAACATGATCATACTAAAGTCCTAAGCATGTAAGAAAGGAAGAAGGTGATTGTAGCTCAAAGTCCTAAGGCTGGTGTATAATTTTGCAGGGAAGTAAGATAGCGATTTACTTTAGGTTTTCCTAAGTATACTGGTCAATTGCAAGGTTGGCCACCAAAAGAACAGAAATAGAATACCTAAATCCAAACTAGTAGTAGGAAGAAAGAAAAATTGAATGAAGTAATTTTTAATCTTAATTTTTTTAAAAGCAAAAAGAATACAAGAAAAAATTCTTTAAAGACAAATAACATTAAGATAGTAAAAACTGTATCTCCCTGGCTGGGTAGCTCATTTGGTTGGAGCGTTGTCCCAATACGCCAATGAATCAACCAATGAATGCATAAATAAGTGGAACAACAAATCGATGTTTCTCTCTCTCTCCCCTTTTTCTCTCTCAAATAAACAATATTTAAAAAACTATAAAAAATCCTAATAAATCCAACCCTACCAGTAAAAAGATCAACAGACTAAATTGTAAATCAGCTACATAGGACACACACCTAAAAACTTAACAAAATGAGACAATTCCAGATAGAGTAACCATCAGAAAAAAAAAATACTAACAACTTTAGTTAATGTATTTGAAACAAGACAAAATGGGTGAATTCCCAGAAAATAAAACCAAATTAAACTGACTCAGAAAGATGTAGATAATCTTAGTCCTATAATCATAAAAATTTTAAAGGGGGGACAAAAATGATTTTATCTAGTTCTACTAAGCTTTCACAAACTAGAACACTACCAACTTATACACACTCCTGAAGAGAAGAGAAGAAGGAACACTCCCTGAATCATTCTCTGAAGCTAGTTTTCATTTTCATGTCAAAATCAGATAAAACTGGGGGGGATACAGGCCAGTCTCCCTCAAGAACATAGATTCAACAACTGATACAAACTATGAGCAAAACAAGCCAGTGGAGTTAAGAAAAATAACAATATATCACTGCCAAGCTGGGTTTCTCACAGGAATGCAACATTAGAAAAATCTATGAATTTACTTTTTCTCTGTAACAGAATAAAGAAAAAATTATTTGATCAACTCAAAAGCAGAAAAAGAATAAGACAAAATTTAACAGTTAATGGCTACAAAAGAACCTCTTATCAAACTAGGAACAGAACTTCCTTAACTTGCTTGCCAAAGGATATCTGAAACAAACAAAATCGATCAATACTAATCTTAGAAGTGAAAGTTACAAACATTATGTTTAAAACTAGAATGTGCAGAGTTGTTTCTAACATTTCACTGGTGGTCCTAGCCAGTGAGGTAAGATAAGAAAAAGGAATTAAAAAACACAAGGAAGAGAATAAAACTGTCATTATTTACAGATGGTAACTTTCTACATAAAAATTTCAAAAGAATCCACTGATAAATTATTAAAGTTAATAAGAGCTGGTGGCTGGATGTAAATATTCCATTGACTGCATTTTTACACACCAGCAGCAAAAATATACATAAAATACGTAGGAATAAATTTAAGAAAAAATGTGCACAACTTTTTTTTAATATATATTTTAATTGATTTCAGAGAGGAAAAGAGAGGGAGAGAGAGGGAGGGAGGGAGGAAGGGAGAGAGAGAGAGAGAGAGAGAGAGAAAAGCATCAATGATGAGAATCATTGACTGGCTGCCTCCTGCCTGCCCCCCACTGGGGATTGAGTCTACAACCCAGGGCGGAAATCAAACCATGACCTCCTGGTTTATAGGCCGACACTCAACCACTGAGCCACACCGGCTGGGCTGTGCATAACTTTTTTGAAAAGTAATTATAAGACTTTATAGAATGACATTAAAGGAAATCAATAAATGTAGATATATGCCACAACAGGAAGACTCAAATCCATAAAGATCTGTTCTCTCTATAAATTTATCATGCAATTTAAATAACATTCCAATAAAAATGTCTATAGAGATTTTAAAAGAACTTAAATCTAAAATTTATATGGAAGAACAAAGTGGCCAAGAATAGATATGACTTGCCCGACCAGATATCAAGATTTATTATAAAGCAACAATAATTACCCAGAATGGTACAGGTCCAACAGGTCCAACAGATCCAAGGACAAGGAAAAAAGACCCCTCAAACAAACCGATACAGCCGAAACCGGTTTGGCTCAGTGGATAGAGTGTCCGCCTGCGGACTGAAAGGTCCCAGGTTCGATTCCGGTCAAGGGCATGTACCTTGGTTGCAGGCACATCCCCAGTAGGAGATGTGCAGGAGGCAGCTGATCGATGTTTCTCTCTCATCGATGTTTCTAACTCTCTATCTCTCTCCCTTCCTCTCTGTAAAAAATCAATAAAATATATTTAAAAAAACAAACAAAAAAAACGATACATGTATGGAAACTTGTTATAAGACAGAGGTGATATTAAAGACTCCTGGGGGGGAGGGGATACACATATTTAGTAAAAGCTGCTAGAAAATTTGCTTTTTGTTTGAAGAAAAAAATTGAAATGGGATTCCCACCTCATACCCTTCACAAAAATCAATGACAGATGGATTCAAGACTACCATGTGAAAGACGAAACTCTAAACTTTAGAAGAAAAACTATCTTATGACCTCAGGGTAGGAAGAATTTCATGAACAAAATATAAAATGATCTAACCATAAAATACTGGTAGATTTGACCACCTTCAAACGGTACAAACTTCCGGTTATAAAGTAAACAAGTCTTGGGGATGTAATGTACGGTCTGGTGACTGGTTAGTAATACTGTATTGAATAGAGACTAGTTATAATACTGTATTGTATGTCTGAAAGTCGCTAAGAGAGTAGATCTTAGTTCTCATCACAAGAAAAAAAATATTGTAACTATGTGTGGTGATGGATGTTAATTAGACTTAAATAAACTCCCAGACTGACTCACTCCAAACTTATTGCACCAGAATTTGCGTGAGGCCTAGAAGCCCATTAACAAACGCCCAAGTGATTCTATAAACCCAGGCTGGAAACATTAGGAACTCCGGCCCCAGGAGACTCATTTATCACCTTGCTACACAAAATAACAAGAAATGATGTAGTTTCAAAACCAAAAAGGGGTTATATGCATGTCACCGAGTACGATAAGGACTATAAGGGAGACAGCTATAAGACCCATTCTGCTGGCTGCAAGACACTACTGAGGTGACTGCCCACTTAGAAAGCCCTTTCTAATGGACTCAGGCCCAAATCCTGAAAGACACTGGGCCAGGCATTAGAGCTTCTGTGAAAATGTGAAAGGAATAATTCATAGCTCGGGCAACGAGCCTCTTCAGGCTGCCGAAACTCCTCCCCTCTGCTGCTATCTCATAACGACATTTTTACACGTAAACAATGTTCTAGAACATCTGCAGCCGATGAATGGTGTGCCAAACCACAAGACTGCATCAATACACTCCGTTCAATACACGTGGCTGGCTGACAATACACCATATTGATTTTCCTAATGGACTGCACTTAAAAACTTTATATCATTTTGCCATTGGTATGGTGGTCAAACTGAAATAACCAGATTTAATCGCTTTGGTGCCATTGAGGATTTGGAAAGGGAGGAGCGAACCTAACAAAGAACTTACCCAAATCTCTAGCCCCCCCCCCCCCCCCCCCAGCAATCACGCGGAGCCCAGCCAGGTCTGTGACCCTATCACAGGGCCATGTTCGTACAGTCACAATGCCTTTGCTGCTCGCAGCTGCCGGCCCTCTCCTGTCTGCCTGTCAAAGCCCTAGTCCTCCTCACTAATTGTGGGGTGCGGCTACGGTGTTTTGGCCAGGTTCAAGCCTCAGACTAATGAAAGGACAGGGTCCTCATTGCCACGTGCAAGTCCTAGCTGGAGGGCAGGGCCCTCCCAGCACAATTATAGCCAACAGCTGTGGTTGTAAGCTTGAACCTATGGTCCAAACACGTAACCCCACGTGCCTTGTGATAGAGTACGGGTGCATGTAGTTAAGTGAGGTTGAAACCCACGAGAATGCTGTAAACAACGTGATCACGCCCCTACTTTGCCTTGTGGCATCTGCTATAAAATAAAGACACGGCTTGTGGGCGCCAGCGCTGTCTCCTCATCAGGGAGCAGCGTCCCACCGAGACCCAGCTTTCATTCTCTTGTCTGTCTTTTCTCAATCCTTTCACCCCCACCCACTCAGGGTCACTGAACCAGGCTGAGCTGGCATGGCACATAAGGCGCCCTGGGGCTGAGTATGCCATGGCCGTGCCGGTTCCCCACAACTAATCATCTCCTTTCTAAAGCCTTCCTAACTTCTCCAGCAGGAGCACCCGCCCTCCAGGCAGCCTTAGGTGTCTCCTCTTCCCTGCTCTTATTACGCCCTGCACAGATCCTTTCATAGACCTTGCTACCTCGTTTGCCTAGAAACACAAATGCCCGACTATTACACTCCACCTCTCCTATTATTTTGTGACCTTGGATAAAAGTTCTCAACCTCTCAAATTCTCGGTCTCCTCACCTGTAAGTCACTTGTACTTCATACACTTGTTGAGGACGAGATGAGATCATGCGCAGAAAGCACTTAGCACAATGCCAGGCACACAGCAGGTGCCCACGGCAGAGTAGCCATTGCTGTGCTGAATGAGCAGTCAGAGACCAGGCTCAGAGGGTATAGACCGTATGAAATTGGGAAGGGGGAGCCAGGTGCGGCTCCCGAGGGAACTTCACGGAGACTCACGCTTAGCTCTGGCTATCATTCCAAGAGGCATTTCAGAGGACACGGTCAGAGGGAGGTTTAAGTTGTGCAAGTGTCGGCTCACCTCTTATGCTTCACAGCTCCCGCCAACAGCTTTGCCTGGGAGAACTTGTTCTTGGTATCTATGGGTTTCATGGCCACTTTCTTCTCCACTTCCTTCTTGTTTTCTGGAGCAATTCCAACCTTGTTGAGATTACTGTGAGTTACAGGTTAAGGGTCAAACTATGCAAACGGAAGAGCTGTGCCAGGACAATGATAAATTGAGAAGGAATGCAAATCTAATCCACCAACACTTTGGCTCTGCCAAGTCATGGTTAGCCTACTGATTTGAAAAAGCCCTCCCTATTCTGCCAGTCAAATCCAGCTGATTTCAAGAGAAATGAAGGTGAACACAGAGGAAGATGGCAAATCAAGCATAAAATAATATAGGCAAGGGAACTTTTCCCCTCCGATTCTCTATGAAAATCTGAGTACAGCCAGAAAACCTGCTACTACCGAAGACATAGTCGTTATCATGCTCGCTGGGGAAAACAAAAATCTTAAGGAATATAAATGCAACAGGAAAAAAATATGGCTTCCCTGAAAATGTTTGCTTTCCCAATTTTGCAGAATGTCCTATGACTATTAATGGCATCAATCTTAGACACGACGAAGACTACCTCCTACTCTGCTGGTGCAAGGCAACATCAAAACCACTTAAGTTCATTAAAAAACAGAGTCTTCGTGTCGATCAGTCACCACCCCCTCTCCTGTCACAAGCCTCCTGGATGCGGACCTCCAGAGGCCCAGGAACCAGTTTTAAATCCTCCCTCAAGGTGATTTTAACAAGAAACCCCTGTGCATATACAACACAACCCAAGAACGAAAAAGTTGATTTTGAAGCATAACCTGTCCCTGGTTATGCATCACTTTTTTCATGCTTGATGTCAATCTCTGGCTTTCAAGGTCTGTCACTTTCTTTTGTTCTCTCTACCTGCCTCCTCTCCACCTTCCCTTCCATTCTCTCACAACCTATTATGCAATAGATGAGTGTTCCAACAGGATACAACTTCTTACTTAAGACGCAGTCGAGCCCTCTTGGAGCAATAGTGACATCTAGTGCCCAAGGAATCTGAGAAGCATATATTATCAACCCCAAGAGGTGGGGATGGGGGGTGTATGGTTGTTTATTTGTCTTTAAACAACGGAGAACACTGGGTACCAGAAATAAGGAAAGTCTAATTCTGATCACTTTCCAGGCACTATCTCTGTTCTTATGAACACCAGTTACCTTAAATATTTGCAATATTCAATGGGGATTATGCATTTGGCTCAATACTACTGTTTCATCAGTTTCATGTTTTTAAGGTCATTATGGGAACAGATTGGATATTAATACTAAATGTTCATCCTTTTTAAGAATAAAAATGGGGAGAGAGAGAGAAGCATCAATCAGGTGCCTCCCGAATGCACCCAGACCAGGGATTGAACCCAAACCCAGGTATGTGCCCTGACTAGGAATTGAACCCGAAACCTTTCAAGGCATGCGAGGATGCTCCAACCGACCAAGCCACCTGGACAGGACTGTTACTATAATTTTTAAGTGCATCAATAAACAGTTTAAATTTGTAAAAAAAAAAAAAAAAGAATAAAAATGAGCCCTAGACAGTTTGGCTCAGTGGATAAGAGTGTTGGCTTGCAGACTAAAGGGTCCCAGGTTCAATTCCTGGTCAGGGCACATGCCCAGGTTGTGGGCTTGATCCCCAGTGGGGGACATGCAGGAGGCAATGGATCACTGATTCTCTCTCATCATTGATGATTCTCTCTCTTTCTCCCTTCCTTTCTGATATCAATAAAAATATATTTTAAAAAGAAAGAGCATAACCTATAGACACAGACAATAGGGTGGTGAAGGCTTGGGGAGGGGTAGGTGGGGGAGGGCAACGGGGGGAATTACATATGTAATTCTTTCACAATATTTATATTAAAAAAAAAAGGACAGAAATGAAACAGATTTTATCTTTCTAGTATAGAATGCCAAAAACCATGAGCATGCTGTGATTTTTCCCTACAAATCCAACATTAAGGAATAGAAACTCAAAGAAAATTCTTAATATTAAATGTTGAAAAATAAAACAAATTGGAATTAACACAATAAAAGTACTTGTGTATTTATAATACCAGGACGCAGACAAAAAAAAAAAACACAACACTTAATTTTTTATTCTTTTAAAGTGAAGAAAAGTGTTCATCCTTTTCTTTTGGGGGAGGCAGGGAAGATGGGAGGAAGGTGGTAATATTATTTTTGACCCATATCCAAATCATAAGCCATTTTTTCCCATAAGTCCCTCTCCTGTAAAATGCTTTAAATACACAAACACACCTCAAAACTCTCAAGGAACTCATTAAAAGGCATTTTTTAAAAAATCACAATTCTTAATACATAATGTGGGTAAAGGAAACTAGAGGTCTGCTGTTTATATGGCACAAACCACAGCTTATTTGTATTCACAAGTATCACATTATAAAATGTATCATATTATAAAGGTCAGTTAAAGCCAAGAGCTTCCATAAACAAATGTCGAGTCCTCCAATTCCTACCTCAACATGTCTCTGGCTACAGTCACCCTTGGGATTAGTGCATATACACCAGTGAGTTGGAAGGCTTGCTTTTCTTCGGTTTTTCTAAAGAGTCAGAACTTTCCAAGTTTCTGACGAAAGCCAATAGCCCTGGGGCCTCGTCAAGGTGGCTGTAACGTTACCAGGACAGGAAAGTTTCTTTGGCCTCACTGCTGCCGTTCATTCTTCCCTTTGAATTGGAAACCGAAGGGCCTCTCATCCCATAACCAACACTGCTTTCCAGAATGCTGCTTTGGGAGGCACTCGGTCTTATTTGCTAGCCTAGCAAATTAAGTACATGAAACAGGACAATTCACGTGAGACGTGTCATTAATGTCCTTCCTTAGCGGAAAAAGCCTGGTGCCTGAAACAATGCCATACACATTTCTGCCCATGTCTGCAAACCCCAATGCGTACTGCTGTTCTAGGGTCAGCAGAGGGGAGCTTCCGAATAATGTCTCGATCCTCCAGTTGGGATTGAGGGGTAACTTTCCATCAACTCCTATCTTAATGTTACACCAGAAAGCCACTAGGAGAACTAGGACGGGAAGCCAGGTCTCTTGCTACCAATTAAGAGCAGGTTTTGTGACACCATGCTGCCACCTTATTTCAATCACCGTCGCCTTGATTTAAACCAAATCCCGAGGAATCTTTGCACACTTTCTCCCATATAACTCTTTAATAGAACCCACTGTACACTGTCTGCAAAAAATATCAACACACACAGCAGTGTCATATCACTCGGAAGTGAAGCCTGCTCAATCGCACTAGTGAAGTCATTCAACATATAAGCTTTGAAATATTCAAATAAGATTTCTCATAGGAGGCCTGGCCAGCCTGGCTCAAATGGTTGAGCACTGACCTATGAACCAGGAGGTCACGGTTCGATTCTCAGTCAGGGCACATGCCCAGGTTGCGGGCTCAATCCCCAGTGTGGGGTGTGCAGGAGGCAGCCAATCAATGATTCCCTCTCATCATTGATGTTTCTCCCCCCCCGCCTCTCTCTCTCTCTCCCTCCTTCCCCCTCTGTAATCAATTAAAAAAAAAATTTTTTTTAGAGAAACCAACCCTCTTCCCTTAAAAAAAAAATTCTCATAGGAGAAAAAAAAACTAGGGTGGTCTTATTAACCTCTCCTATGAGTCATTCATTACTTTATCCAAATATATACCAAGAAACCACTACATACCAGGCACTGAAAAATCAGTGATGGCCAAGTCCCTGTTCTTATAAAGCTTACTTTACCTTCCAGCAGGTGAGAGGCAAACAAACCAAGACTTTCAGGTAGTGACAAGTACTATTAAAAATGACATTATAGACAGTGATGGGAGGGGGTGCAATTTTAGGTGGGCTGCGTAGGGAAAGTCTCTATTAGGAAGGGAGATGTGAACTGAGATCCGAGGGCCATGAAACGAGCCTTGTAAAATCTGAGGGCCGAGCATTCGTGGCCAAGAATGCAACTACAAAGGCTTTGGGATGGAAACACCAAGTTCGGTGAGAGGGACATAGGAAGGCCAGTGGGCTGCAGTACAGCGAACACTAGGAAGAGTGAGTTCAGATGGAATGGGGAGGGGAGTTGGCCTAAATCATGCTGAGCCCTGTAGGGCCTGGTAAAGAATGTAGACTTAAGTTTAAATGCAACAGGAGGCCACTAGTGCTCAAACAGTAAAGTGACATGATCCCATGCATGTTTTCAAATGTCCCTGAGAAATGACTATTGGGGACGAGAGAAGCAGCTGAGGCTAAGTGGAGGGCCACAGCAGTCCAGAGAAGAGTCGATGACTACTGCAATGGCAGTATAGAGAGCAAGAACTACACAGATTTGGAGCACATTTTGGAGGTCATTTTTGACCCAGGTACCTGGAGGTATAGGAGTACCATTACTGAGATTGGGAAGACCAGAAGAGATTTTTTGCGGGGGGAAGGGGGGGCGGCGGGGAAGGGCAGTATGACGAGGGTGGGAATGGAATTAAGAATTTTGATTTAATCAAGTTACATTTGGGATGTCTATTAGGATATTCAAGTGGATGTTAAAAAGGTAATACTGAGTCAAAGCAGTCATCTTTGTTGCTGCCTCTACTCCTCTATGGGGACAGACCAGGGAAGGTTACTAAGGACACAAGAAAGTTGCTAAACATTTTATTTGAAAACTCAGAAGCCAGTTTTTGCCCTAGATGAGGTTTACTGCATAGCCCATCTGTTTTGGAGCCTAATCTCAAAAGGCAAGAATGTCCTGGTACTGATTATTAGGATTTAGGCCTTTAGTTAATTCTAAAGGATTTGGACTTCTGATTGCAACAGATTCTTACATGCAACATAACTCCGTAGATCAGTACCAGTGAGTTATTCAGTCATCAAAGTATCACCATTGGAAAGGCCGTCGTGGCTCAACGGTTCAGCACTGACCTATGAACCAGGAGATCACGGTTCGATTCTCGGTCAGGGCACATGCCCAGGTTGCGGGCTCGAGTAGGGGGTGTGCAGGAGACAGCCAATCAATGATTCTCTCTCATCATTGATGTTCCTCTCTCCCTCTCCCTTCCTCTCTGAAATCAGTAAAAATAAAGACCTTCATTCTATTTATAAAGAAACCAAAATCGTAGATGTTGATGGGAAAACTGACACCTTCCCTCAAAGTACAAAGGATATTCTGTATTCCTTCAGTTCTTTCAGTTCTTCTTCTCTTCGCTGCTTTTCTATTAGTTCCTGCTGCCGAGAAACCTCATCAAGGAAGTTGGTCTCATCTTCATCTAAGCCTCTTACCATGTTTTCTGAGGAAATAATTTTAAAAGAACACTTAGCAGGCTTAAGGGAAAACACAGGCAGATAAGATTTTCCCTTTTCCTCTTTTTTTTTTTTAATAAACAGCAGATCCTTCAGGGGATTAGAGGAAGGATTCTGTAAACACCATGGCTTTGGGATAGATAGCATGGCATAAAATCAAGGCATTTCTCCCATTACTAGATATTACCATAGAATGAAAATGGGTATCTTGAGCTCTAAACAAAATGCTCAATGTGATCTAGAAGGCAGAAGTTTGTCTTTCCCAGCAAACAAGCATTTAGAGACTAGATAATCACAATTCCACGGCTAGTTAGAAAAAGTATTGCATGAGGTAAACGTGCGTCAAAAAGCCCCTGCGGAGACCCTTGGACTCCGTGTTTTCTGAAGCTTACTGAATTTGAACTGCTCCTCGTACTCCTGCTGCTTCCTGTCTTTCTGTTCCTGTAGCCTTTCATATAGAGACCGCGGGTCATACACCTCCTCTGGACATTCTGAAAGGGAGAGAAAGGGAGAGAAAGAAGGGGGAGGGGAATTACATATTTTAGAACTCTTTCATATTATTTTGGAATCACAAAGGATTATAAAGATCAAGTCAAGTCCCTGCATGAGCTGAGGGCATGGATGACACAAAAATAGTACAAAGTCCGTAGCTTCCCTTTGGAGCTCAGAGCCAACTGTCAATGTCACTGTCTCAGTTGTTCGGATCCTGGACCCACCTGTCTAGATAGAACAGACTAGTAGAATCTCCTGGAAGACAGTGGGGTAGAGTGAAAAGGGCAAGGGCATGATTAACCTGGCTCTGCTTCCCGCTGTGGAGGCCTAACACAGGCTCCTTCACCCATCTGAGCCTCAGTGCCTCTACTCTGAAGTGAGGACATTGGTACCTCCTTTGCAGGCTTGTTGTGAGGATTAAGACCGTTATGTTGAATGGTCAACTGTAAGCCCATATACCTTCTGGATCTTCAGGTTTTCGAACTTTCTCCCATTCTTCTTGCCTCCTCTTGCGCCGTTCATCTAGTTCTGCCTCAGTCACAAACCTCTTTTTGATAACAAGGTTACCATCATCTCCTCCATCCATAATGGAACAATCAGTCTATGGAAAACAAACAAAATATTTCAAGTGAGAACTGCAATTAAAATTCTACAGAGAAACAAGAAGATTTAGCTCTCTCACCCAGTAATGGATTACCTCAAAAATCCCTTTGACCTTGAAGAAATCCCCAAATAGTCTAATTTATAGATCATTGATGAAAGCACTTGATTACATTTTCCCTAATGTATGAAGTAATTTTAATAACCCTAAGTTATCTACAAAGTCAGCAAGAGGATCTGGAATAATTCTCATTACATGCTACTCCACAGTAAATCTTATACTGCAAATATTTCTGTCTCTCTAATCTAGACCGATTGGCCTCCTGGCCACCCTTTTTCCCAGTTCGCATTGTCCTTTATTTCTGTAACATCTGACATTGTTCTTTCTTGAAATTCCTGTTTCAGGGACATCACACTACCTCGATCCACCTGTTCTTATTTTCAAGTAGGTTCAAAATGGAAAAACTCAGCTATTTAGGGAGCCTTAGAGATCAGGTCTGGTCTATAAAGCAGGAAAGTGATCTGCCGCCCTAGAGACACACAAAACATGAATGGAGAAAGTGAGACTAGAAGAACCCAGATGTCCCAACTTCAGATTCAATGTACTCTGCATTACACTCAACTCCTCCTTCATCTCTTTCCTGACCTTCCTTCCTTAAGTTCCATATCTGTGCCACTTAAGTTTCTATCTTCAATCCTGTTTTCTCATTCCCACGATGACCTCAACCACTTTATGATTTCTTGATGCAGAAGACTTCCAATTCCCAATCTATATACCTCTACCTGAAACTCTCAGAAAGGAGGGGGAAGGGACTAAAGCTATAGAGGAGTGTGCATTACTCCTTTTAAACAAAAATTTTCTGCTTTTCTTTGCTGGGGTCTTTCCTTTTGAAGAACTGTTTTGTGCTCTTCACAGAATCACACGTAACAAGGAAGCACACATTCTGCACCACTGGCACGTCGATTCAATGTCCATTTCAAGTCGATCCCTAATAGCCAAAATAATACGTCTACTGGTAGCATGAAAATAAAGTAGCAGCCATTTACTGAGCTCCACCGTGTACTGAAAACTTTTTATGTATATTACCTCATTTACACTCACAATGACCCTATGAGAAATATATCTCTTTACCAAGGAAGAAATTGCGGCCCCGAGTTAGGTCAGTTGTCTAAGGTGATACAGCTGGTGGATGGTAGAACTGAGACTCAAATCCAGGCCTGACATCAAAAATTCATACCCACTCCACCATACCCCTCTCCAGAAACCAGGGCTCCTGGCTGAAAAGGACATGTCAATTTCAGCTTTCTTCCTAAATCAAATTCCAGTGCTGAGACTGTTCTTGCAACATTTTTCTTTAATAAAGATGGAAAAGAAAGCTGAGAAAATAAATCCAAACATTCAGAACAAGAGAGTAGTCTCAGCCTAAATCCCACTGTTACTGAAGTTCAGTTTAGTGTAACAATGAGAGATTTTTTTTTTGGAAATTTACTAGAAAGAAACTAAATCAACTGACAGAAGCTGTTGCTCCCACCTAGAGACCACAGCCTGGACACTTCGATGTTGCATCACTCCACCTCTCCTCCCAGAAGCCTGTTATATAGAAACAGAATTATGCAATCTCTGTGAACATGCCAAGCATTCCTCCATTCTGCAGAATGACCTCTTGTGAAACAGGAGCCAGCATTTTCTTAAACATTCCTGGCAGAGACAATGTCAGCTATGAATGACTAATGGATGAGAGATGTACTAGACCAGTGATGGCGAACCTTTGGAGCTCGGCGTGTCAGCATTTTGAAAAACCCTAACTTAACTCTGGTGCCGTGTCACATATAGAAATTTTTTGATATTTGCAACCATAGTAAAACAAAGACTTATATTTTTGATATTTATTTTATATATTTAAATGCCATTTAACAAAGAAAAATCAACCAAAAAAATGAGTTCGAGTGTCACCTCTGACACGCGTGTCATAGGTTCGCCATCACTGTACTAGACCCTCAATTTCCCCCTCCTTATCCTCTATTAGCTGTTGCTCTCGTTCTCACCCTATATCGGCAGTCTGGTTTCTTCCCCTCACCCTTATTTCCTGGTAAATAACTCAGAGTGGGATGGGTCCTTACCACCCACCTAACCTGATTCTCCATCTGGTATCTGAGATTTTCATCTAACTCATATTTAAAAACTTCAAGATGAGCCACCACAATCCCTCCTTGAGCAGACCTGACTGATAGTATAGTTCTTCCTTAAACTCAAATTTGTCTCCCCACAAATTCTACACATTGGTTCAATCCTCTGGGAAATAAACAAAAGGAGCCAAATCTTTTTTCAACATGACAATACTTCAGCTCTTTGAAGACAACGCCCATGTTCCTCCTATTTTATCTCTTTTCTGGGCCAAACATCCCTAGTCCCTTTACTCTTATAAGTGGAGAAAAATAACAGTGTCTCAAAGCAGTGGCTTACTTTACCAGGTTGCATATGACTTAAACCTGGGAAATAATTATTAGAATCTGGTAATGCCACTGGCATCTTTACTCTCATTATACATTTTTTTAAAATGAAAATCTATCCTATATAAGGCTAATATGCAAATCGACCAAATGGTGGAAGGACTGGTCGCTATGATGTGCACTGACCACCAGGGGGCAGATGCTCAATGCAGGAGCTGCCCCCTGGTCCTCAGTGTGCTCCCACAGGGAGAGCGCCACTCAGCCAGAAGCCTCCACGGCAGCGCTAAGGATGTCCGCCTGTCAGACATACCCCGAGGGCTCCCGGACTGCAAGAGGGCGCAGGCCGGGCTGAGGGACCACCCCCGCTGAGAGCACAAATTTCGTGTACCAGGCCTCTAGTATATATTTAAAAGGCTAAGTGACCGACTGTAGGTCCATCTGACCAGCCCATACATATGATGTGCACTGCAATTTAAAATAACGGATTTATTATTGAAGCTACCTTTGGAAATAGTGTATCTATAGATAATATTAAAAATATATCTAAACATGCGATTCTTTGTCCTAAAAATGAGCACGTTCATAAATTAACTGAAGAAATTTTGGATATACTTGATGGAGATTTTCACACCTATATGAGTGATGATTCCATTGATTCAAAATGGATGATGCCGAAAAGGAAAATTTTCCCACCGAATTCCTTAATAGTATTACTCCTTTGGGAATGCCGAGTCATAAATTAAAATTGAAAGTAGGTGCAATCATCATGCTACTGAGAAATCGTAATAGTAAATGGGGTCTTTGTAATGGTACTAGATTTATTATCAAAACATTGAGACCTAATATTTGTTCTAATTAATTTCCTTTCAATGTGCATGAGTCCATACACTGGGCCACTAGTAATACATATTAATACTGGAAAAAATCTTCCAATAGGCCAAAATAAAATCTAGAATCTTACATGCTTTCTTCTAATTTAAGAATTCAGAGACTCTTAAAATTTATTCTTATAACTCAAAATTAAGAAAGGAAAATCATTTATTTCATGACCTGCTGAGTTTCTGGAAAGAGAAGACACTACCTTCATTTAACTTTAACAAGGATCCCTGAAACTCAGGGACAAAGCCTTTAGGATACTTGTCAAAAAGGGTTTGAACTTGAAACAGAAACTCTAGAGCAGCGATTTTCAACCGGTGTGGCACAAGAATTTTTAAAACATGCAATACCTGACTATTTAGTCAGGGGCACTGACCTCTTTTCCCTTAGATTGTCAAATAAAAAAATGACAGTAGCCAACACAATAGCTGTCCAGTGTGAATGAATCAAAATTATACCTATTTTTTTGTCAGATCAACAAAAAATATGTATTTTTGGTGTGCTGCAGAATTTTAGTAGTTTATGTATGCCATGAGATGAAAAAGGTTGAAAATTGATGTTCTAGAGAAATAAGGATCTTCCCACGAAATTCTTACTCTTTTTCTTCAATATCTTTCTTGTGTTAGAATTCAACTTCTACCCAAAGAGTTGAGTTTGTGCTGTTACCCATCTTTCACACACAGACACAAAATCAGGAATCATAGTTGGTTCATGAAAATAAGGCAAAAGCACAGCTCTCAATGGGTTGGTTTCCTGAAAATACAGTCAGCCCTAGCTGGTCTGGCTCAGTAGCTAGAGCGTCAGCCTGCGGACTGGAGGGTCCCAGGTTTGATTCCAGTCAAGGGCACATGCCTGGGTTGTGGGTTCAATCCCCAGTAGGGGGCGTGCAGAGGCAGCTGATCAATGATTCTCTTTCATTGATGTTTCTATCTCTCTCGCCCTTCCTTTATGTCAATAAAAATATATTAAAAACCCACCGTCAGTCAAAACTAATGAATACTTATGAAAGTCTGCTCTTTAAAGCTAATATTATAATCCTGACATTCTCTTGATTCCAAAACAAAGCTAGGTGGCCACACCAATTATAATGAACTTGTGAGTTTAAAAGAGACAAGACTAAAACACAGGCTGCTTTATCCATCTCTTTCTTCTACCTGCATTCCTTCTGTAGGTCCTCGTTCCCTGGCCCAATATTATTGTTCCCTCTTTGCCTTCAATATAGCCTTCTGGCTAATTAATATGGTCATCTGCTATGCACGGAGAGGTCAAAGACAGGGACAGTACATGCTCATGAACAAGTGGCAATACTCCTGAATATTTTGAATATTATTCAGAATATTCTTTCTCCAGAAATATGCAGGTCTTATCAGAATTCCAAACTTCACTGTCAATAAATACTGTCAAGAAATAAGCTTAACTTCACTACAACCCAATGTAATTAAAATAAATATGTAGCGAGTACCTTGTTTTCCGTCTTCTTACCAAGAGGGAGAGCAGGTCATGATAAAGAGTATAAAAGACTCTAAAACCAAGAGGCTGTGGTTTGAAACTTGGTTCTGCCACTTACCCATTGTATGACCCTGGGCAAGTCACTAAACTCCTGAGCCTGTTTCCTCACCCACAACTGCACTCACCAAAGGGGACTAAAAGAATACTGCACAACATAAATCTTTT